AACAAGACAGCCCAGTCAGTTCTTTGGTTCCTTGTTTTGGACAAAACCTGTTTACTTAGAGAGGAGATCAAGAAAATAGTTCAGGCTTTCCCTTTAAGAGAGGGCACTGATTTACCCTTTGGATTCCATGCAGGTAAAACTGAGCCCAGGAGTCTTGAGGAACAGAACATCTTCATCTCTAACTAGCAAACCTAGATAGTAGTTATCATAGTACCGCTCTGTCGTCACCAGAAGGGACCATGTCTGAGTCTGGAAAATGGCAATAATAACATACTTTTGAATTTTTCCAGAGAGTTAAAAAAAACAAAAACATGAGAAATGTGCTTCTGTTAAGAGTAGGCACTCTTGCTATCATCCTGTCTCTACAGCTGTTAGAGAATATCTGATTAATCATTGGTGAGAAGAAGAGTGTTCCAGAGATCACTTACTAGTAGAAAATCATGGCTGTCAGAGAATTTTCACTTTATTTAAAATGAACCTCATGCTGACACATACATACCATGCACACAGTGGCATATTCTAAACAGATAACAGGAAAGAATTAACTGCTGTAATAAATAAATATAGTTCTTAATTTGTTAATGACATGCATAATCATCCTTTGCTATGTAGATTGAGTTCGTGTCAATTTCTTGTATTCTTAATTTGCCAGTTTTTACTTCCTGTAGCCTTACTTTTATACTGTAGCATGGTTCTTAATTGGCAACATTTATTGCCTGCCCCCTGCCCCACATGTGGCAATATCTAGAGGCATTTTTGTTCGTCACAACTGGGAGAGGGAGTTACTGGCATCTAGCGAGTAGAAGCCAGGCATGCTGCTACACATCCTACAATGTACAGGACAGCCCCCTCTCCCAACACCCAACACAGACTCATCTGGCTCAAAATGTCGATAGTACTGAGGTTGGGAGACCCTGTACTAGAAGCTGCAAGCTTGTCATCCTGCAGGTGTTTTGTTACTCCCATACGGTATTTTTTTTTTTTTTAATTTTTTTTGATGTAGTGTTCCATGATTCACTGTTTGCGTATAACACCCAGTGCTCCATGCAGAACGTGCCCTCTTTAATTACCCATCACCAGGCTGACCCATCCCCCACCCCCTCCCCTCTAGAACCCTCAGTTTGTTTCTCAGAGTCCACAGTCTCTCATGGTTCGTCTCCCCCTCCGATTTCCCCCCTTCATTTTTCCCTTCCTACCCCACACAATATTTCTAAATAATTTTTAAATTAGTTGCCAACATGCAAATTTCTGGCTTCTGTTGAAAGCTCACTTGATGTGGCAGTTCTGGGCCTGTGTTCTAGCAGAGACACTAGTCTCTACTGTCTCCTACTATCTTATACCCAGCCCATGTGATCTCTTTGTTTCCTAACTAGCCTCTGTTAGGCATTTGGGCTTGTGCTCTTTTTTTTAAAGTAGGAGGCACAAAGCAAGAATGCTTAACTCAGCTCTGATCCCTCTGCCCTGAGGTTGTTCACTTTGATTTACTTAAACCATTCATTCCCTGTTTGTCATCTGCTTTTTTTTCCCCCTGCTACTACTCTTTTCCCCATTCTCCAAGAGTAGCCATGACTCAGAAGCCAAGTTTTGCTTGCCTTGACTCAACCCCAAGTTAGCTGGTTAATACTGAAAAGCAGTAATTTTAAGTGTTACTGATTAAGCAAGTGATTTGAAATTATCTAGCAATTCATAAGACAGCTCTTCCAGTTCTTTCTTGGGGCTTGTAGGCTGCTGTAGAGATTCTTCTAAATCCTGCTGTGCATTTCTGGTGCTGAGTTTTGTAGTTTCATGGGTGCTACAGAATAAATTAAAGCATTATGAAATAAAATGTTTTTAATTAAAGCATTATGTAAGGCTTAAGGATGGTTTCAACATTTTCATTATTTTATATGGGGTGTAAAAGGAAATTTCTAGGGGGAAAACTGGGATAGGAATTAGGGGAGGGGCCGTTAGGATTTAAGAAACAAAAGTTGAGAGTAATGGCGATACTATGCTTTTCTCCCCTTCACTTACCAATGGTGGGGTGCTGCTAATGAGTTACGTTTTTAATGAGTGCTAGATTTTATTTTTTTTATTTTTATTTTTCTAAAAGATTTTATTTATTTATTTGACAGAGACACAGCGAGAGAGGGAACACAAGCAGGGGAAGTGGGAGAGGGAGAAGCAGGCCTCCTGCGGGGCATGGAGCCCGATGGGGGGACTCGTGGGATCGTGACCCGAGCTGAAGGCAGACGCCTAACGACTGAGCCACCCAGGCGCCCCATGAGTGCTAGATTTTAACAAGCCGTGGTGACCATGCTGAGGGGAAAAGGGTGATTGTTCAGGACAGTATAGCTTTTATTATGGCTCTATATAGGTTTTTACCTTCAGTTATCCAAACAAAATAAAAAGTGCTAGAAAAATAGTTTTATCATTTTATAGTAAGTAAAAATATACATGGGGGCGCCTTTACACCCACAGACACACATACGTTTGTTCTTCAAAAGTGAAGTAATACTTTTGATTGATGGCCCTGTAACTAGAATTGGAAAAATGATCTGTTTCAAATTGAAGAATCTACACCTCATATACAATAGTTATATTTTATTTATAACTGCATTATTCTCCCGTTTTAAATGTGTTATGTGGAGATCTCTGGGTTAGTATTCTGTACATACAGGATTGTGATCTCAAAATATACGAGTGGTGGCATTACAAGGGATGGCAGTTTGAGAGCTGCAGGATAACAAGGAGCATCTGAGATTACCTGGGACAGTCACGGACTTCTGACTGCTCCCGCCATCGTACAACCCGGCTGCCCTGACCCTTGTTCCTCACAAAGTCTTCATCCAGCCCAGCCTGCTGCAGGGTGTCTCGATACCGTTGTTCTGCGGCTCTCCTGGCAAGGTCCTGTGGAATGGAAATTAATCTGCTGGAGCTGTCTTGTGAATTACCAGGTAATTCTAAATCACTTGCTTCATCTGTATGTCTAAAATTGCCCCCTACCCCAACTCCCCATTAATGCTGGGCACTGGTGTGCATGAAAATTTCTTCGAGCCTTTTCAAGCCTTAAAGTGCATAGGAACTACCTGAAGATCTTGTTATTAATGTAAATTCTCATTTGGTAGGTCTCAGATAAGGCTCACAATTCTGTACATCTAACACTCCCAGGAGATGCCAATTGTTGATTTGGGAGCCACACCTTTGAGAAGCAAGGATTTAGATTTTTGGAAGACCAAGTGAGACTCAGATGAAAAAATGGACTAAAAAACATTTTAAGATTTAAAAACAACCAGGGGCGCCTGAGTGGCGCAGTTGGTTACGCGTTCAACTCTTGGTTTTGGCTCAGGTCATGATCTCAGGGTCCTGGGACTGAGCCCCGGGAGTCCGGCTGCACACTCAGTGCAGAGTCAACCGAGATTCTCTCTCCCTCTGCCCCTCCTGCTTGTGTTCTCTCTCTAGAGTAAATAAATATCTTTTAAAAAAAATTGTTTGTTTGTCAGAGAGAGAGAGCACGCACAAGCAGGGGGAGCGGCAGGCAGAGGGAGAAGTAGGCTCCTGGCGGAGCAGGGAGCCTGATGTGGGGCTCAATCCCGGGACCCTGGGATCATGACCTGAGCCGAAGGCAGACACTTAACCGACTGAGCCACCTCGGTGTCCCTAGAGTAAATAAATAATCTTCCAAAAAAAAAAAAGAATTAAAAACCAGAGGTGCCTGGGTGGCTCAGTCGTTAAGCGTCTGCCTTCGGCTCAGGTCATGATCCCAGGGTCCCGGGATTGAGCCCCACATCGGGCTCCCTGCTCGGCAGGAAGCCTGCTTCTCCCTCTCCCACTCCCCCTGCTTGTGTTCCCTCTCTTGCTGTATCTCTCTGTGTCAAATAAATAAATTTAAAAAAATAAATAAAAAATAAAAAAAACCATTATCATGAACACTAAGATACCAAAAAAAACCCACTAACATATAACAAATAGGAAATAAACTACACTAGTAACACTTTTTTTTTTTTTAAGATTTTTATTTGTCAGAGAGCATAAGCAGGGGGAGTGGCAGGCAGAGGGAGAAGCAGACTCCCCATTGAGCAAGGAGCCCGATGCCGGACTCAATCCCAGGACCCCAGAATCATGACCTGAGCCAAAGGCAGACGCTTAACTGATTAAGCCACCGAGGCGTCCCACTAGTAACACTCTTAACAGGATAGATGGTCTGCACGTGGACCAGAAAAAGGTTATTTCTTGTTTTGATTTAAGCAAAATCATATAGAGCACTTTGTATTTTTCCTGGAGTGGTGAAACATCTGTTGAGATCAGAGAGTGAGCTTTGCTTGAAAAAATTAAAGAAGAAAGGTCATTATGAGAGATTTTGAACAATGCAAGTTGCTAAGTAAACCCAAGACTGTCCAGCATGTGTGAGTCTGTGTGTGGCATATATGGGGGTGGGGAGGAGTGTACCTGGGAAATGCCTACATAACACACTGGCTGTAAGATGGAGATAATGTCCAGCAGTTGGAATCAGGTCACTAGGAAACCTCAACTTTTTTCTGAAACTGGAGAGAAGAAGGATCTACAGAGTCTGATACAACCCAAAACCTCCAGGGATGGTGGCCTTTCTAAGGCTGTTCAGACAGCTCCAGAGCTTCCTTAGGGAGAGATCTCAACTGGGTCCAACTTCCCTAGAGGTCTAGAGAACACCTTAAAATGATTCTTCCATCCTGAAAGCCACTTAATCTGAAAAGGGCTTTATGGGGTGCTTGTGAGCATCTCAATGTCTGAAGACCCATAAATGTGCCTGCCACAGCTCTAGAGGCTGGGGATGCCCAGGGGACCAGCACTGCAGGGGGAGAGATGATGTTAGTAAGTTAAAGATTTTCTCATTAACACAGCCAAACTGTCACTGGGTATGTGGGATCTAGCCCTCACCATGATTCAAACTGAAAGCTAGACTGTAGCAAACACTCCAGAAAGTGAAATACTCCCAATAGATGTCTCTGGAGTCCAGTCTTGGATGAAATCAGTCCAAGCAACATTCACCACTGCACTACTTATTGGGGGTGGGGGTGGGGGGTGGGATGGTAATTAATAAAACAGGCCCAATTTAGAATCTTTCTGAGCCTCCAGGAAATGTTTTTAATACCCAGATATTAAACTGTTCCATCATTGGGATGCCTGGGTGGCTCAGTCGGTTAAGCATCTGCCTTTGGCTCAGGTCATGATCCCAGGGTCCTGGGATTGAGCCCTGAGTCAGGCTCCCTGCCCAATGGGGAGTCTGTTTCTCCCTTTCCCTCAAACCCTACCCCGTGGTTGTGTTCTCCCTTTGTCTCTCTCTCTCTGACAAATAAAATCTTTAAAAATAAATTTTTCCGTCATTTCTAAGAGCCCTTTCATCCAAGACTGAAAGAAAGTGAATGATGGTTTAGTTTTACCTTGGTAACTTGTTCGAAGAGATACGGCCTTGTCTGTATTCTCTTCTTCATTTCTTCCAATTCTTTCTTATACTCTTTTGCTCTTTTACGGTCTTTGTTCCTGGAATTAACAAGATTTTTAGAATGAATTCTGTCTTTTTCCAATCTGAAATACCCTTCACTCCAATTAAGCAGAGTAATTCCCAAGGACATTGTAAATTCCTAACTGTGCCTAGCAAAATCCTGGACTCTGTGCAATTATAGGAGTCTACTCTAATAACTCCATTTTGCCGTTCAAGGCCAATGATCTGTTGGATCCCAAGACAGGCACACCCTTTGACACATGGAGGACACTGACCGATTCTCTTTCAGCTTTGCTTTGAACACCTCCTCTAGGCTTTGATGGGGATCCATGGCTTTCGCACGCAAGGTCACGGATTTAGACATCGCTTGACGCTTCTTTTTGTGCATCTCCAACCACTGAGTACTCTCATCTGCTTTGTCCTTTTTTTCAAGTGAACTTCTAAAGAGAGGACGCAAAAACCATACAGATGACCAACTTGAGTATATTTAAAAGCAATCTTAGTAACCTCTCTGGAAAGTAAAATGGTGTTTTCTATGAAGGGAGTGATTTATCACACTGGCATTTCAGAAAGAACAGGATTCTGAGATTGGCAGAACAAGCCTTCCCAGCACTATGGACACAGTGATTTTCTGCCCCAGGAGAAGTTCATTAATTGAACTGAAAAACATATGAGTTAAAATATCCTTACACTCAGGCTTCTGGCCTGTCTGGAAACAAAATGATTCTAAGAGCTGCCATTTGCTGAGCTACCTACTCTGAACCAAGAGCATAAAGGAATCAAGTGCTTTATATCCATTATCTTCATAACTGCTCTATGAGGTAAGAACTGTAAGCCCCTCTTTTTATAGGCAAGGAGACTGAGGTTCAGAGAGGGTAAGCCACTTATTCAAAGCCACCCAGCATGCCAGTGGAAAAGCCAAGATTTGAACCAGGATGTCTGACTCCCAACTTCACTTCTGTGCTGTAAAGGGTGGACTGGAAGGTACCGGGGGTCATGGTCCCTTGGGAATACAAATCTGCATTTTCACAGAGAACTGAAGAAAGGCCTCTTTCCATGCACAGTTTGGGGTTAACTTACAGCACCTAGTTTGTCTAAGTATCATTTAACAAGGTACTATGGGGAGTTTCTACCAAAAGAAACAACAGTCAAGACTCTTGCATTTGGGGCGCCTGGGTGGCTCAGGTCATTAAGTGACTGCCCTCGTTCGGCTCAGGTCACGATCCCGGAGTTCCAGGATTGAGTCCTGCATCGGTCTCCCTGCTCAGCGGAGAGTCGGCTTCTCCCTCTGACCCTCCCCCTTCTCATGCTCGCTCGCTCTCATTCTCTCTCAAATACATAAAATTTTAAAAATAAAAAAAAATATGTATTAAAAAAAAGACTCTTGCATTTGGATTATTTACCTTCAAATGAACAGATTAGGAAGGAAGGCATGAAAGCTGAGTCTGCTATTATATCAAACTCCCTGTTGCTGGGAAGCAGATATGGACATCCCCTAGAGGCACCAGCGTCTGGTTCCTAAGGCCTACCTTACTGGGGCCTCAAGATACTGATGCATTTAGCCTTCATTTAGTCGCTCTAAGACATTTGAGGAAGAAGGGAGTATCCCTTGGATTCTAAATACATTTCTAAGATCCCCATTGTGGGTCCTCAACAGCCAAGTAGGTCCTGTGTTCTCCTCTGTGAGCCCCACAGGAAAGCACTAAGATGCTAGTCCTCTCCCAGAGCTCAGCTGCTTGGATTACCACCTTTCCTGCTGACGTCAGCTCAGAGGTCTAGTGGAGGAGCTCTTGCCTGGGGTGCTGGTTTGATGACAGCAGGACCATGACAGAGTCAGGTCAGTTAAAGAATTAAAAAGTAAGGAGGCTCCTGCTTCCCAACCAACTTCTGAGAGTTCCCCAAAGATGAATCTCAGAGAATCTCAAATCTGTGCGGTGGATGCCTTCTCTTTGTGACTGGGTCCGCCACCTGCCGCCATGCGCCTCTGCATTCCTGTTCCTAATGGCTCCCTCTTTTGTCTGTGGGTCTTCCCCCATGTTGTTCTCTCTGGAATCTTCTTTCTTTCCAGCCTTCGGCTAATTCCTCATTCTTCAGAGATCTATTAAAGAGACCCCTGCCCCAGGCTGTCCAGTGCCCCCAAGTTTCCCTGTATTCCCCCACCACTGCACTTCTTGCAAAATATGGTAACTTCTTTGTTTTTCTGTATTTCATACTAGATAATAAACTAGAGGTTCCATAAGGTATCTCCAGCCTTGCCATTGTGACTGGCACAGAGTTGACTATCTGCTGAGGGATGGCCAGGTGTTCTCCAGCACTACGTGTGGAGCGTTACGTGTATTCCTGTCCCGCTCAAAGAGTTCCCTTCCACCCCTATAGGTCTCTCTAATAACCGAAGAGGAGGCCCAGCAGCAGGATGGTTTCTAGCATCGGGGTCAAGACCCGGGTGCTGACCACTGATCTCGATCCTGGGCCAAGATCTCGAGCCCAACCACTCACCTGACTGCAGATTCCCTCTTCCTGGTGATGTCCGTGATGTGCACAGGGAGGGTGTGGGCAGAGAGGGAAGCAAGGCCACTCAGAGAACGACTCCTTGGCAGCGGTGTGGCTGGTGGCTGTGGAGAGTCCTGGAAGAAACGAAGGTTGGTATTGATGCGACGGCAATGTGTGACTAGTTTCTATTCTAACCTAGGATTCAATTTCAGTGAAGGACTAGTCAGACCAAGAATCTTTTTTTTTTTTTTTTCTGTGATTAGAGAAAGAGTAATGAGTTTATTACCAGGCCTAAAGTTGGATAACAATCCTAAAGTTTTAAAATCAGATGAGAAGAGTTCTTTAGAATTGATATAGGGACGTGAGCAATTGGTCCCAACTCCCTATGTTCTAGACTTGGATTTATTTCTGCAAATTTCCTTTAGAGAAGTTCCCTCTAGGGAGGCAAAGAAAGAAAGTATTCTTATGGTACTAAGTTTATAGGAATTGTGGCGCTTACAACTGAGCCAGTGTTGTTTTTTTTTAACTTTTTAAAATTTAAATTCAATTGATTCACGTATAATGTATTACTAGTTTCAGAGATAGAGGTCAATGACTCATCATCAGTCTTCTATAATGAGCCAGGGTTTTTTTTTAAAAAAAGATAGGAAAATGTCAGAAGTGCCTCCCGTTGAGACTGGCTGGTCCGCTGGGTCCCGGGCCCTGCCCCTCCTGCACCTGCCCAGGCTCTCACCCTCCTCCCTCCGGACGTGGCGGCATCACTGGGCCGCTGAGCGCCACGCAGGCTGCTGGTTCTCAGCAAGAAGGGCTTGTTGCGGGTCCCCTCCCTGGCCTCCCTTCTCTTGGCAGCTCTTCTCTGGAAGGCCTTGTAAAGGCCTTCGTAGTCAGGGACAGCAGGATTCACCCGAGGCTGGAATCCAAAGTCAGGGTGCAGAAACGCAAGCTTTTCCTGCTGGGTTCGGGTAGCTGTGCGAGGCTGTGGGTCAGGCCGGCCGCCGGAGAAGGCGACAGGGGAGGAGGCCTTCTGGAGCATGTCTAGGGCTCGCATCTGGATGCGAATTTTCCTGAAGAGTTCTGCTTCTGTGGAGAAAAAGTCAGGGAGGTGATGGGAGAGAGGGGACCCCACCGCATCCCTAAAGGTTTGGAGAATGTTCCCTCAAACACTAGCAGGGTGTGCCGGAGCCGACCGACAGCTTTGCAGGGATTTCGGGTACCAGCTGACATCATATGGGAAGCTCCGCGTTGGCCAGGAGAGGTGTACTTAGACCACGGAAAATGGCAAACACTACAGATCAGCTTGCTTTGTCTTTTCTGGAGAGTTCGTTCATAAACACCGGCCAGGACGGCTGCCAGGTGCCAGTAGGCTGTGAGGCAGCCACCATGGACACGGACTGAGCGCTCTCTGTGGGTCCTTCTTCCAAGGCGGAGCTGGAGGGGCAGGCCCGTCACCCCTCCTCTCCCAGGTCCCCCTCGGCTCAGGGCAAGTCCCCGCCACCCATCCAGAGGCTAACGCTGTTGCCCAAATCATTCTTGCCTGCCTTCTCTGGTCAGTCCCAAGTTTTGTGGTCTCTGCTCTTCAAGCGTGCTCCAGTCTGGCCTCTCCTCACCGTCCCTGCTGCTAACTTCACCATCTCTCCGCTGAACTGCATCCAGACCAACATCCCTCCAGGCCCGGCCCTCCCCCCTCAATGATCTTCCCAAGCCGCAGGTCTGATCCGGAGCCAGCCTACTTAGAGCCCTTCAGTGGCCCCCCCAGTGCCCTTGGATGAAGTCCAAACTTCCTCCCACGGCTACAAGCCCCCAGGTGTGGCTCGGGCCTGCCTCTCCCTCCCCACTCCCTCTTCTCTCCTGCCCCTTGTCGTCCCTTGAATGTGCTCGGCGGCCTCTGACCTCCGCGCTGTTCTCTCTGGCTCACTCTTCCTCCCTCTTCCCATCCTTCAGGGTCCGCCTCAGCGCTCACTTCCCCCAGGGCCCTTCCCTATCTGCTCCCACAGCCTCACCACATGCGAAGCTAGGTCCCTCTGTCCTGTACTCTGTGAGGGGCAAGCCTTTCATCCTTGCAGACCCCTCACATCTGTAGCTTTGTTATCTAGTACCTGTCTTCCTCCTGTGTCCACCAACTCCATGTCTATCCCAGACAGGGCCTGGCACCTTACTGAACGAGTAAAGCCTGAGTCCTTTTATCGAACCCCAGTTCTTGGAATGTGCATCTCACCAGGATGGGGGGGGTGGTGGGAGCAGGCCTCAGGGCCAGCTGGAGGCGGCACTGGCCTAAGCCAGTCCTTGGCCGTATCTCCCTGGCTCTCCGCGCATTCGCCGTCTCTCTGGCAGCGCTCACAGGACCGAGCTGGGGAATGCTGCGCCACCTCGCACGGCCCGCTCGTGCCAGGGCTCCCCACGGCACAGACAGAGCCAGCCCTACCCCATGGCCTGCCCTGAGCGTGGCCCGGAGGCCGGTCCTCCCGAGCAATGAATTTCTCTCTCAGCCAGGCTGACCCCCGAGCCTACATCCCCACAGCAGCTCTTGGTAGCCCCCAGGCAGCAGGCAGCAAGGTGTGTGTGTGGGGGGTCTTTACCCTGGAGTTTGTCCCCGAGGGCTGGCTCCAGAATGGACTTGGGGATCCTTCTGGTGGCCTTCTGCTTGGGGACCTTGGCCTTGGCTGTGGCGGCCAACTCCCTCTGTTTAGCGGCTTCCTTTCTCTGTTCCTCCTTCACTAGGAAGCTGAAGGGCTTCAAGGAGGAGAGGAGCAGTTCCTTCCTCTTCTGGATCCCTGCCTGCCTGCGGGCCTCGCTGCACTCCGTGATCTCCCGGTAGAGGGGCAGGTAGACGTGCGCGGGCACGGGCTGCGCCCGGAACTGCCGGTGGCACTCGGCCTCCTCCTGACCCTGCCGCTGGGCCTGCTTCCTCTCCCGCTCGAAGGAGGCAGGGGAGGCCAGCCACTGGGCCTTCTTCTGGGCCTCACGCAGAGTCATGTGGAATGGCTGAGGGACGGTGATGGATGATGCCCAGGAGCTGCGGCTTCTGTGCTGCGAAGGAGGCCTGGAGCCTGAGGGTGGCGGGGGCTGACCCTTGGGGTCGTCGGACGGAAGGCTGCTCAGCGAGCTGCAGCGCCTTGTGGGGCCACACCTGGGGGGAGAAAGCAGCTGCGTGGAGGACACATGGAGGACACGTGGAGGACGCTGGAGGCCGGCTCCTCCTCCGGCTCCTCCCCAGTCCTCCCTCCCAGGAGGTGGCAGCCGGCTTCTCAGCCTAGCATCACCCACCCCCCTCGGCCTCTGAGCCTGTGCCTCTCCTCTCTCAGCTGGGCCTCCCTCCTTTCCCTCAGGCCATCTAGCAGCCCGTTAGGAAGTCTCTTCTCAGAACTGATTTAAGAATTGCCACTTTGTACTCTAATATTTTCTGGGTTTTTTTCTTTTAAAGATTTTATTTTTTTAAAGTAATCTCCACACCCACTCCGGGGCTCGACCTCACAGCCCCGAGATCAAGAGTTGCACACTCCACCACATGAGCCAGCCAGGCGCCCTGCATTCTACTATTTTCATATGGGCGGGAGAACAGTGCAAGGGTACAGAGCAGGGCTTTAGAGTCGGACCCAGGTTCAAATCTTGCTTCAAACAATTACCAGCCGTGTGACCTTTAGCAGGGTTTGCCTGGAACCTCGATTTCCTCATCTGGAGGACGGCAAAAATAATATCTACTTACAGGGTTAGTGGGAAGAGAAAATAAATATTAAATATCATATAAATGCAGCGGACATGCATATAACAGGGCTTGGCCAAGGTAAATGTACCTTGTTGCCATTCTCAGGGAGTGAGTGAGAAAGACATCCCTTTAATCAATTCCAGTGCTTCCAGTGACTAGGGTAACCCAAAGTGATTTAGGACGGCTGGGTAGGAACCAGAACATGTTTGGCTCCAAAGGCTGATTCTGAGCTGGAGTCTGGGTAAGGGACAACTTGCAGAAGTGGTCTTTGCTTTACTGGGAAGAGGATGAGGCCCAGAGTCATGATGTGACTTGGCCAGAGTTGTGCATGAAGCAGCTGGTGAACTGCAGTGCCTTACCTTGGAGACACGGGGTACTGGACCTGTGGCTTCCCCCTGCCTTCGTCTTGGAAGAAACTCTCCAGGTCGTCATCATCTTCGGAGAAGTTCTCACCACTGTCTGGGTCAGACTGATAAAGGGATTCCAACAGGCACCACCTGCCTTTCTGCTTTACTACCTCCAGGGTCTCATAAAAGCTCCCAGTTGAGTCAGAAGATTCAGAAAGCGTCAAGTCCTCTGGGCCAAGGAAGTCATCCAGTTTGCCAGCCCTGGGCAAAACCAGCCCATCCCCAGACAACTCCTCTTCTGTATCCGAGTCTGAGGAGGACTTGGGGGGAAATACCTACAATGAAATAGAATAGACGGGTCAACTATCATTTCACATTTACGCAAAACATAACCATTAATTTCACTTTGAATAAGTTTCTGTGCATTAGGGACTGGGAAGGAAGAAAAATGTGTTCCTTACTTTAAAGAAATTTCACAAATCGGTATATGGGGTACGCTTGGTTGAAGGGCAGGGAAAGGCAGCAACAGGTTGAGCAGTTACCGAGTACTCTGCAGCATGCATTCTGTCCCCTGCACTCCAGGAAGCGCACCAGACCTCGGCCACACCCTGCGCCTTGCCTTAGTTGGGCTTTACTTATTTGTTGCCAATCTTCTTTTTCCTGCACCTCTACTTTCCTCCTAATTCTATCTAAGATTCTATCTGCCCCGTTACTAGGAATGAATAATTAACTGAACAATGTGGTCTAGCCGAAAGAACAATGTCACAGAAAGTGGGTTTAAATACTCCATTCGTTTAGAAAATATTTATTTGGTACCTAATGTGCACTGGGCATTAGGCTGAGAATGAGTCAAACAAGGTCCTTACTCACAAAGCTTACGTTCTAGTGAGAGGGAGACAGACCATATAAGATGACAATATATTCAATCAAAGACATAAATTGAGAGATTATACAGTGATGAAGTGGTTTGGGGAAGCTTTTCTGTTGATAAAAGCCCATCAGATAAAGACCACTAGGAACAGTATCTATAATCAGAGTTAGGTTTATTAATTTGTTGGAGTACACCATGAAAAATTAAGGGAACTTGCAGGGTGGGGACTTTCAGTAAGAGGGTGGGGGGAGGGCTTTTTCTAGGGTTGGCTTATCCTGAATGATTCTGAGGATCTGGATGGATACTGTCATGAAGACGGCACAGTTCAGTAAGTGAGTGACTGAGCAATTTTTATTCAAAAGGTAACTAGAACAAAATGAGGCTGGGTAAGTAATTGATAGGTAAGCATCATCATTTAGAAGGGGGTCTTAGTCTTTTTGCAGGTAAACTTTGGCCCTGGGAGAAACATTGTTTTCTGCTAATCTGGCTGCTCACCTTAGCTGTGTCTGTTACAGTCTGCATTGTACTTTCTCAGTCCTGGGCTGATTTTTACTTTCTCACTGCAGAGGAGTTTTAGACTCACACGTGATTGATGAGAGGGAGCCGGCCTTGCTAAGATCTGGGGTAAGAGCGTTCTGGGTTCAAGGAAAAGCAAATGCAAAGGCCTTCAAGCAGGAATAAACTTGGCTCTTGGAGAGGTAGAAGGAGCGCCAGTGTGGCTGGAGGACAGTGGAATGAGATATCCTTAGAGAACCAGGTGTGGGGCCGGGATTGGACTGGATAAGATGACTGGTTGCATCTAGAAATCAGTTGGAGGTAGGCTGCTACAGGCCTCCAGGTGACACTTGGTGATGATTCTCTAAGGTCCAGCTCTAATACTGAAAAGAACACTGGATTCTGAGTCAAACGTGTGCTCCAGCCCTTGCGCTGCTACTGAGGAGCATGGGATCCTGGGCAAAAAAATTTTAAATGCCTTTATTGAGATATAATTCAGACACCATACAATTCATACAATTCACTTACTGAAAGAGTACAATGCAATGGGTTTTAGTATATTCACAGAGTTGTGCAACCATCACCACCATCAATTTTAGAGCATTTCAATCACCCCAAAGAAAGCCCACACCATTTAGCAGTCACTCTCTATTTCGCTTAGTGCTTCCAACCCTTCCCTCCTTGCCAGCCCTAAGCAACCACCAATCTACTTTCTGTATGGATTCTATGGCAAATTTCTTTTTTTTTTTTAAGATTTTATTTATTTGAGAGCGAGCGAGCGAGCACATGCGTGTGGGGGGAGGGGCAGAGAGAGAGGGAGAAGCAGACTCCCCGCTTGAGCAGGGAGCCTGATGCGGGGCTCAGTCCCAGGACTCTGGGATCAATCATGACCTGAGCCGAAGGCAGACGCTTAACCGACTGAGCCACCCAGGTGCCCCACTGTGGCAAATTTCTTATTCTCTCTGTGCCTCAGTTTTCTTTTCTACAAAATGGGGACAACATCGTTCTATCAGTCCTAGGGTAGTTGACAGGATAAGCGAAAACCGAGGGCTATCGCTGTGGTTCGATGAAGGGCCTGACATAAGGCTCAACCCCTTAGGGAGTCCGCCTGCCGGTCCCTAAAGGCGGCCGATTTTAATCCCACGCCCCTCTGCGACACGCCCGTGTCGTCTGTCTCCAAGGCAACGTCAAACAGTTTCCTCTCTTAGAGATTCCTTTCCGGGGCGCAGCCCTAATTCCTCTCCTTCTCGTTCTCTCCTCACCTGACGGCTCCCCTGAGCGCCGCCCGGGGCTCCCGGAGGCCTCCCGATGGTCATCTCCGCGACGCAGAGACGAAGGCCGCGGTGACAGCGGCGGGCTACGCGCTGGCTTCGGTGGCGGTACTAGCTACGCGATCAGGTTCCGCCCCTTTCCAACTTTGGCCTCTGATTGGCTCCCAGGCGGATGCCTGACCCAGTCCCCCTTCCCAGGGAGCCTCTAATCTTTCCCGCCCAAGTTGGCAAGGATCGTTTTCTGATTGGCCTACTCTTTTCGCGTTCTATTTCCGGCTCTGAGGCCGGGGCGGAAGCAGCTAGTGATTGGAGAGCTCTGCTCCGGAAGTGCAGCAAAAGGAGGGCCTAGCGGTGCGCCAAGTACGTTGCAGGTCAGCACCATGGCGGCCCGGCTGGCTGTGAGCCGGTGGAGGGCTGCACCTGCAGCTCCTGGGAGAGGCCCGATGCTCTCCTGCCGGAGGTGGTCGGGCGCCAAGGCAGACACGGTGTACGATGTGGTGGTGTCGGGCGGAGGCCTGGTGGGTGCCGCCATGGCCTGTGCCTTGGGTAAGCGCATCTCCAGGCAGGTAGTGGCGGGGAGTGGGGCCGTGGAGGAACTGTGAGGACCGTGGGAGTCCTGAGCTCCTGTGGTCTTTCCCCTGCCTAGAGGAGCCCCAAGGCAAGCGTTTGGTCCTTCAGGGTTCCGAAGGGTCAAAAGTGGGAGGGTCCTTAGGAGTCATTCTAAATCCCGCCCGCTGTTATTCAGGAATGGGCACAGTTGGAAGTAATCAGGCATTGTATCGGGCTAGGCGTTTTGTTTCTTTCTAAAAACAGCTCCTTTGAGATATAATTGCATATCAGAAGGTTCACCCATTTAAGCATACAATTTAATGGCTTTTTAGTATATTAACAGGCTGTGCATCCATCACCACCATAAATTTTAGAACATTTTTATCACCCCCAAAAGAAACAGGAACCAATTAGCAGTCATTGCCCATTTCCCCCCAAAGCTCCTCAGCCCTAGGCAACCACTCGTGAACTTTTTGTCTCTATAGATTTGCTATTTCCTGACATTTTCATATGCTTGGATTCTGCTTGTTTTAAAGGTTCGTCCAGGTTGTAGCATGCGCCCGTACTTTTTATGGTTGAGTAATTCTGCATTGTGTCAATGTACTACATTTGGTTTATGCATTTATTAGTTGATGGACGTTTGGGTTTCCACTTCTGGACTGTTTCGAATAATGCTGTTATTTTGGATATAGGTTTTTGTGTAAACATATATTTTTGGTTACTTGGATATATCCATTTCTAGGAGTGGAATTGCTGGATCACATACATGGTAACTCTGTGTTTGTTTTGAAGAACTGCCAAATGGTATTCCAAGGTGGCTGCACCATTTTACATTCCCACCAGCAGTATATGAGGGGTCCAGTTTCTCCACATCCGGGACAGCACTTGCTGTTGTATTTTTGTTTATATTCATCCTAGTGGGTGTGAAGTGGTATCTCCTGGTTTGATTTGAATTTCCCTAATGACTAATGATGTTGAATATCCTTTCATATGCTTATTTGTATATCTTTGAAGAAATGCCTATTCAGCTTTGCCCATTTTATTTTGATTTTTTAAAGTAATTTCTACACCCAGTGTGGGGTTCAAACTAAGGAGCCCACAATCAAGAGTTGCATGCTCTGTCCACTGAGCCAGCCAGACACCCCCCTTTGCCCATTTTGGGCAATTTTGGGCAATTTGTCTTTTTATTATTGAGTTCTAAGAGTTGTTTTTGTTTGTTTAATCTGGGCACAGGTCGTTTAACAGCGAAGTGATTTGCAAATATTTTCTCTCATTTTATGGGTTGCCTTTTCATTTTTATTTTTTTTAAATTTTATTTATTTATTCATGAGAGAGAGAGAGAGAGAGGCAGAGGGAAAAGCAGGCTCCCAAGGAGCAGGGAGCCCAATGCGGACTCGATCCCAGGACGCTGGGATCATGACCTGAGCTGAAGGCAGAAGCTTAACCATCTGAGCCACCCAGGCGCCCCGTCTTTTCATTTTCTTGATGGTGTCCTTTGAAGCACAGAAGTTTTTTTTTTTTTTTTTAAAGATTTTATTTATTTTTTTGACAGAGAGAGACATAGCGAGAGCAGGAACACAAGCAGGGGGAGCGGGAGAGGGAGAAGCAGGCTTCCCGCAGAGCAGGGAGCCCGATGTGGGACTCGATCCCAGGACCCTGGGATCATGACCTGAGCCGAAGGCAGACGCTTAACGACTGAGCCACCCAGGCGCCCCGAAGCACAGAAGTTTTTAATTTAGATAAAATTCAACTTGTCAAGTTTTTACCACTTATACTTTTGGTTTCATATTGAAGAAATCATTAGCTAACCCAAACTCATGAAGATTCACTTTTGTGTTCTAAGAGTTTTGTAGTTTTAGCTCTTAGATTTAAGTCTGTGATCTACTTTGAGTTAAACTGTGTATGTAAAGTGAGGTAAGGACTTTGCTTTTACATGTATAGTTTAGGCTGGTTCACTTCACTGTGATGGAGATACTGTTTTCATATTTTATGTGAGAAAATTGCCTAGCAAGGTTTAAGTAAGGACCAGAGTCTTAACAACCAACTGGTAGTAGACTCGGAACTTGAACCTCATGCCACCAAACTCCAGATCTTTCCCCCCCCCGTTTTTATAAAAGATTTATTTATCTGAAAGAGCCTGCACATGCATGGGGGGGCGCGTGTTGGGAGAGAAGAGGAAGAGGGAGAAAGAGAGACTCTACTGAACGCAGAGCCTGATGCGGAGTTGGATTCCAGGACCCTGAGATCATGACCTGAGCCAAAACCAAGAGCCGGACGCTCAACCAACTGAGCCACCCAGGCACCCCCAGATCTTTGGCTTTTAACAATTGTATAGTGACTTGCAGAAATTGGATCTGAGTTTTCTGGCCTCACAAATTAAAGATCACTAATAATGTAAAAGTCTTTGTTGACTTAAGAATAAGGTGTGACAGCCACATCTTCCCTAGGGTGGCTCCTCTTTTGGGATACTGGTGGGAAACAAAGCTTTGTATGAACTGATCGGCTTGAGTCTCAAAGTAATTATAAAAAACATAGTCATCAATTATTGAGTACTTGTTATGGATAGGCATCTTTTAAAGTATTTTGCATACATTTGTACTTAATCCTCATAATCTTTTTTTTTTTTGGTGCAAAAAGGTGGTTTTCTTACAGCATGGGGACAGGACCTGTGGGCAGAAAGAGCTGCACCGGGTCATAATCTTTTTTAATTGAAGTCTGATTGACACACATTGCATCCACTTAATAATCTTGATTGTAGATTGTGCAGATAAGGAAATTAAAACTCATAAAGGTTAAGTAACTTGCACTCAAAAGTTGGTAATTGGGAGGGGCGCCTGGGTGGATCAGTCGTTAAGCATCTGCCTTTGGCTCAGGTCATGATCCCAGGATCCTGGGATCGAGCCCAGCATCGGGGCTCCCCGCTCAGCGGGAAGCCTGCTTCTCCCTCTCCCACTCTCCCTGCTTGTGTTCCCGCTCTCGCTGTCTCTCTCTTGTCAAATAAATAAATAAAATCTTGTTGGTAATTGGGAGATACAAAGCCTTTTTGAGACACAAAACTCTCTGGCAGGTATATATACCTTCCTGACAGCCATTTTGGTTGTACCTACTGGTCAGTGGGCTAAAATAGTAGTTCTCAAGCTTGAGTGCATTTAAGAATCACCTGGGGTTTTTGTTTTGTTCGGAGGTGTTGAATAACTAAGGCACATATAGAAAATTCAAAAGGGATTTTGAGTTCTGAAATACAAAGGGTATAGGGCATACAGTATAAAGAATGTAAAGTGAGACTTCCATTTTTTATTTTTAGCCACCCAGTTCTCCTTGAAGACAGTCACCCATTACCAGTTTGTGGGGGCATATTTTAAAAAAATGAGGATTGCAGGTTTCACTTCCAGTGACTGATTGGGTTTATCCAGGTGGGGCCCAGGAGCCTGTACTTTTTTTTTTTTTAAGATTTATTTATTTATTTATTTGACAGAGAGAGAGAGACACAGCAAGAGAGGGAACACAAGCAGGGGGTGTGGGAGAAGGAGAAGCAGGCTTCCTGCTGAGCAGGGAGCCCGATGCAGGGCTTGATCCCAGAACCCTGGGATCATAACCTGAGCCGAAGGCAGATGCTTAACGACTGAGCCACCCAGGCGCCCCTAAACAGAGAATTCTGTATTGTAATTGTTTCTGTTTTCCGTCTCTTCCATAGAAGTATAAATCCTCAAAGTCAGGACTGACTTTAAAACAGTCATAATACAGAATTCTCTGTATAAGTCTACAAAAGAAAGGTCAGGGGCCCGAGTACACTGGGTTGTGACAATCTCTGCTCAAAGTCAAAACTACCAAACGCAGGTTTACAAAAGAAAATTCACACACTGGCCAATTTCCTAAAAAAGCTCAGAGAAAAATGTTAAACGTGAAAGTTGAAGCTCTGGAAGGTTTGGAATCTTTCATGTGATTTATTCAGTGAGCAAACCTCGCTGTTTTCCTGTAAAGCAGTTGGGACCTTGGGCAGATCCGCAGCCTTTCAGAGGCAGGTGTGGCATTGGGAGTGTTTTCTCTTGTTGAGTCAAGTAAACTCTCCGCCTGAGATTTTGTGCTATTTTTTCTCCAAATGAGTTTTCTAAAATGTCACTTTAAATAGCTAAAAAATAAAATATTGAACCTCATTATAAGGTGTTTGGAAATACAATTCTTTTTCCTGTTAGTTCCCTTGTCTCTCATTTAACAAAAATGCCCGCTACTTTATGGATTGAGGAGATAGAGCATTTGCTGCTGGGAATATTAGCCATAAGAAAAGAAATGGTTCCTGCCCCCAGGGAATTTAGAATCTAGCAAAAGAGAAAGACTTGTAAATAACTAATAGAAGGGATTATGAAACGAAAGCTCCCCTAGAGGAACAACCGCTGACCTGTGCTGGGGGAAGAGGTGTGCAGAGTGGTCTGAACACCGCTGGGGAGGTGAGGCTTGAGCAAGTAGGATCCAGGGGGAGGAGGTGGCCAGGGGGGCATTCGGGTGGGGCAGATACTGGAAGGCAGGGAGGTGTGCTGGACCAGAAGGCAGTCCACTCCGGGGAGCGTGGCTGTTCCCATCCTCCAGTGCAAACACAGCCGCACAGCAAGGGCGGGGTATACGTGAACCTGGGGCCGCTCACTGCCTG